TCGTGCACCAACTTCCTACTGAAACTGGATCTATTTTTTTAGTATTTTTGTTATGCGAATGCATTAACCTGGCCTGGAAGTAAAAATTCGTTTAGTAAGGTTTTATTTCTAAATTAATTTTATTGTATAATCGATTATTATAATATAAAACCAAAAATACTAATAAAATAGCTCAATTTTAAGTTTTATACAAAAATACTAATAAAGTCAATTAAAATAGACCCAATTTTAAGTTATATAAACAAATAAACATTAACCCATTTTAGGATATTAAAGTAGCACGTATTATGTGTACTAATTGTCTGATCTTTGTTTTTTATTTAATCGTCAATTTATGCTTTTTATTTAATCGCAATTTATACTTTTTTATAGACGACGAAATGCACAAAGAATAACAAAAATATTAGTAAGAAAATTATATAATAACACAAGTTGTATGTCCTTATCTTTATCGCCATTAAACAATTGTAACAAAAAAAAAAAAAAAATGGCTGATAAAAAAAAAAGTTTTGTAGTCGGTGCACTTCTTTACAAAGATTATGACCTTTTAGATTTTAATGGTACTGTTCGTTTTTTAGGAGGTTTAGAATCTGAACAGGGACTTGATGTAAAGATAATTACAATTTCTCAAAACGGAGGAAAATGTGAATCGGCTAGTCAATGTTATAATTTGTCGGATTATTCTTTTGATAATTGTCCCGACTTTAATGTTTTGTTGATACCAGGTATTTTAAATATTCCTTATTATTGTTTTTATATACATGGAGTTTTAAGGTACATTTCAATCTCTCAAAAATTTTTATAAGGTGGTAAGAGTTATGTTTACGAAAGTAAAAACGAATGCATGATAAACTTTCTCGCTAAATGGATTCCGAAAGTAGAATATGTTTTGATGGTTTGTACCGCGAGTGCACTTGTAGCCAAGACAGGTAGGTAAATACTTTTTTTTCGCTATAATTATATTATATTATTAATTTTACCTTTCTTTTTTTGTTTTAACTGATGAAATTCGCAGGTTATTTAGATTGTAAAAGGGCTACAACAAATAAGTCAACTCATGACAATGTTGTCAAATATGGTTTAGTATTAATCACTTTGTCTAAGCAAGTAATTATTAATAATAACGTTGAATAATCGAGTATCAAAAATTTTAGGACCAAAAGTAAAATGGGTTAGACATGGTAGATGGGTTGTTGATGGAAAATTCTATACATCAGCCGGAGGTAAATATAGATTATATATGCTCTTCTTCACATTATTTGCCCTATAAATACGACAAAGATTGTTAAATTTACTTCTTTGATATCTAT